GCTCAAGTTATATCTAAATGTACATTATAGTTTATATGCACTGTTTTAGATACTGGTTAGGCAATCTAGACAAGATATATGAAGGGCTGTAAAAATGGTAAGAGTTTATCTCTATTCTGACCATAATTTGAGGCTCAGACAAAAATTTATTTGCAGGCTAGGTACAGGGTTCATGCCTGTAATCCCAGCATGTTATGGGGCTAAGGTGGGAGGATCACTTAAGGCAAGGAGTTCAAGATCAGCTTGGGCAACATAGCGAGACACCATCTCTACAAAAATAATAAAATAAAAATTAGCCGAGCACAGAGGCGTGTGACTGTAGTCCTCTAGCTACTTAGGAGGCTGAGGCAGGAGGATTGCTTGAACCCAGGAGTTCAAGACTGTAGTGAACTATGATTGTACCACTGCACTCCAGCCTGGGCAACAGAGTGCAACCCTGTCTCAAAAAAATAAAAAAATGCAGACAATTGTCAAGGCTCTATTTTACTAACAAAAGGGAAAGAAGATTATGATACTTTATTTTTTCTGATTAAAATATTGTTCAAATACTGTAATTCAAAAAATACTATCTTACTAAGAGAAACTGATCAAACTAGGATGTGCCATACATGGTGTCTGTCCTCAAGGCTACTGGAAAATAATATTCCATTTGTTTATTCCTGCCCTCACTTCTCCCTTACTCTTTCCCTAAGGCCCTTTTAGAATGAGCTCAATCTAATACCACAAATCCATCTTCAAATTGCTCCCTAGTTTTTAAAATCTGTGCTACAAACATTTAAAAAAACAAAATATTTGGGTTTATCGTCAAGAAGGCACATATTGTTTGGGTGCAGTGGCTCACACCTGTAATCCCAACACTTTGGGAAGCCGAAGCAGCAGGATCACTTATAGCCAGGAGTTTGGGACCAGCCTGGACAACACAGTGAGACTTCACCTCTATTTTTATATTTAAAAAATTTTAATGAGGTATATGCCTATTTCTCAGATGAATTTTCCGTTTTTTTATTTAGCAAACACTCCAAAATGTGTTATTTTTAACCTCTTCTCCATTTTCTTAGACTTCCAGTTTTCATGTTCTTCTTAACCACCAAACAAACCTTTACAAATTGCCCTTCCTTTAGCTTAGTCACTGAGCAAACTGTCATCTTTCAGTTCTTACCTTGGATGCTCCCCTCTCTTACGTGACACCATGCCTAAACATACCAAAGTGACATAAGTGCTTTTCTCTTTGAGTCCTGTTTATATATAACTTGGATAAAGTCATCATCTTATTATAATGTAATTGTCTACATGTCCATTTTCATCTGCTATACTCCTTCAAGGCAGAGACTGTGGTGTATGTGTCTTAGCACTCAAACCACTCAAATACTAGCACATTTCAGAAAATCTAAACCAATCCCTTTGGATAAGATTCAAAAGGGTTGTAAATAAAATGTGATAATTTCCTAGCACACAGTAAGTGCTTTTTGCCATAAGAATAATTTTTGTGACTGGTATTGAATATAAATGTCTACCCTAGAAATAAACTTTATATCAAAGAGCACTTAAATAGGTATTTATATTGTGAAATTTAAAGATCAGTGGAACAATGAACTTTCAGTCTGTTCTACGATTGCCATAGTAAGTCTCGAACTGCATGTTTTCTACAGGAAAGAAATCTGGTGAAGACAACTGTCAGGACCATTTTTAAAAATGTGCTTGTTTCTTAACTTCTTAGAGCCATTAATAATATACTCTATCCTATGTGGAGACAACATTTCTCACCCTTAAATTTGATCAGAGGTATCTTTGAGTGGTAGGGATGCCTACTAATAACAAAGAATAACTACTAAGTTAAAAAATATAGTTTAGGAAATGCCTAACAAGAAATTTCCCATTGCCAGAAATGGCTTTTAAAGTAAATAGAAAAATAAAGACTTTGTTGAAGTTTTTAAGATTGATAGTCTATAAAAATTATAACAGTAAAATCATGATTTTTTAAAAGTATACAATAGTCCCCCCCACTTATCCTTGGGGATACACTCCAAGACCCTCAGTGGATGCTTGAAACCATGGATAATAGCAAACCCTATATATACTTATGTTTTTTCTGATACCTATATACCTATGATAAAGCTTAATTTATAAATTTAGCACAGTAAGAAATTAGCAGGGAAACCTAATAAAATAGAACGATTATAACAATATATTGCAATAAAAGTAAAGTAAGGGCACTGTGATACTGCAATAGTCCATCTGGTAACTGAGAAAGCTCCTAAGTGACTAACGAAAGAGTAGTGTCTATTGTATGGATATGCTGGATAAATAGGGGATTCATGTCCCAGGTGGGATGGAGCTGGATGGCATGAGATTTCATCATGCTAATTTGAATGGCATGCAATTTAAAACTTATGAATATTTCTGGAATTTTCTTTTTAATATTTTCAAATTGTTACCAGTGGAAGGTGTCCAGGTTCTTGGCGTTTTGAGCAAAGAATTGGACAAAACATGCACAGCAAGGAAAGAATGAGGCAACAAAAGCAGAAATTTACTGAAAACAAAAGCAGGTTCCACAGGGTGGGAGGCGCAGGAGCACAGACACTCAAGACCCTTCTTACAGAATTTTCTGGGGTTTAAATACCCTCTATAGGTTTCCCATTGGTTACTTAGTGTACACTCTATGTAAATGAAGTAGTAGCCCACAGTCAGTCTGATTGGTTGTGGAAAGCAACTAATTAGAGGCTGAAGTGAAGTTACAAAGTTACACTCCTATGCAAACTTCAATTTTCTGTATGCCATGCAGAAGAAAAGAGGGGTTTGCAAAGGGAGTAGCTTCTGGTCCTTTTGTTACTTAGGTGTGAAAAGTTTGGGATTTTCTTTCAGATTTAGCTATAGGAAGTCAGCATGAATAAGCCTTAGGTTCCCTGCCTCCAGACCCTATTCTCCTGTCTCAAGATCACATTGAACCCTAGGTAACTGAAACTGCCTACTGCATATGAGGAAGAACTACTGTATTTTAATTACATTAACTCCTCTAAATTATTTTGGTCTTAAGGTAGAATAACTTTTATGGAGAACAACATCAATAACTGGTCAGTGAAAAAAAAAAGAAGGGAAAATATTCATTTGAAGGGTCAGTTCACTGACACTACTATTTAATATGCATTTTTAGCCAGATCTAATAGTCACAAGAAAATAATCCCTAACATCCAGGAACTGACCTGACCCAGCTATACCCCAGTGTTGGGAGATAGCTTGACATTCATAGCTAGGCTATGATTGTCCTATAGAACACCAACTAATCAGAGAAGGTCACTCTGTGACTGTGATGAAGTAAGGCCAAAAAAAAAAAAAAAAAAGACCAGTTTATAATTTTGTCTAAGCAGAGACAAAAACAATGCCACTGTGCAAACCACAAAAACATTAGCTTTTATTATTAATAATTGTACTCAACAGTCTAGTAACATTGATATTGGCCAGGAAGCTTGGTAAGATAATCCAATCATTTACCTATGCAGAACAGACTGAAACAAAAACAAAGCAGGCACATAATAAATTTCAGCATAAAGACCATATATGGATGTGATCTAGTACAAGAAGGCCACTACTATTTAGTCCTACTTCACAGATTTGGTTCTTAGTTAACTACTTAATTAGATGGCATGTATTTTGAAATTTAATGTGAGTTTTTTTTTTTAAGTACTCTTGGGAGTTAAACACAATTGTATACTGTGTCTGAAATGGACCTGGCTCCTCTTCTTACACTGTCAGCAATTAACTGAAAAAAATTGATAAATATTATGTAATTATCAGTTACTGTTAAGCCAGGCAAACAAGTTAATTTCAAATGAAACATGAAATCAGGCCGGCATGGGTGGCTCATGCCTGTAATCCCAGCACTTTGGGAGGCCGAGGCAGGTGGATCCCCTAAGGTCAGGACCAGCCTGGCCAACATGGCAAAACCCCGTCTCTCATAAAAATACAAAAATTAGCGGTCATGGTGGTGCGCCCCTGTAATCCCAGCTACTCTGGAGGCTAAGAACGGAGAATCGCTTAGAGGAGGCAGAGGCTACAGTGAGCAGAGATCGTGCCACTGCACTCCAGCCTGGGCAACAGATGGAGACGCTGACTCAAAAAAAAAAAAGGAAATCAGCCACGACTCAGATTTTTAATGCTAACAAGACGTTTTGCTTTCTAAATGCACATACTTTAAATACAAGGGTGTGAGCATTGATATTTTCACAATGTAAGTGGTGTTACGAAAATAATTACGAGAGCTTAATGGTAGAAAACTACGTTTAACTTGACATCGCTAGCAGCCAGCAGTCTAGCACATTATAGGTACTAAACGATGTTTTAAATAATTTCCCAAATCACAAAATTCCCTTCCAACAACATAATATACTCACCTCCCTGCAAAAAAAAAAAAAAAAAAGGAAAAAATCCATAATACAGTCATAAACTCTGCATAGATCGAAAAAGCATTCAATTATTATGCTTGAAATAGACTTACTGGGTCTAAATTCACTTGTTTCAATTTTGTATTACTACCCTGGTGGCGATTTCACTTTTCATCATTAAGGACGTCCCCAAACTCAAGGACGTAAGCTTCCAATATTCGGATAAGCAGCGCAGACGCAGCCGGCCGGGATGCCAGCAGTGCCTGCCTACGTGAGCAGGGCTATGTTCCCCGCAGCAGCTACAGCGCATGCCCGAAGCGGGCGAGGCGGAGGCGCGGGGAGGCACCGGCTTAGCTCCAGGGGTCTCGGCCAAGGTCGGCTGTACCTGGACCCTGGGGCGGCTTGGGCAGCTGTTGGACGTGACTGCGTTCAGCTGCGTCGGGCTCGCTTCACAGACTTGCCCAAGTTCGGGTGTCTTAGCTGCCCCTTTGCCACCGCAGGCCTACCCCGCCCGCGTATGAGAAGTCTGTGACGGGTGGGGGGCGGAGCTAGCCAGCGCCGGGACCGCTGATTGGCTGTGTCGGCTTCCTTTTCCCCCTTCCTGGTGTCCCCCTTTAGGCGCGGAGCAGCAGGCAGCCAGCCAGCCGGGAGCCGGCCGTCACAGTCGGCTGGGTTGCGCTTTGCTTTTGCAGTGAGGCATTGACCTGCCCATATGACTTGGCGCTCTCCACCAGCAGGAATTTCCAGAAGGAGTTTGAATTTTTGTGATTTTTTTGAATATTTTGTTGGTGGAATATGTTGGCATTTATGTTTGCTTCCAAATCAGTGTCTTGCTCACAGCGTAGATGACTTTCTCTCCGAAACGCTAAGTATTCTCTCCCGCAGGAGCGCAAATCCTTGTTTTTCATGACAGATCTCGACGACAATATATGCAAAAGATATATAAAGATGATAACTAATATAGTTGTATTGAGCCTGATCATTTGCATTTCCTTAGCTTTCTGGATTATGTCAATGACTGCAAGCACCTACTATGGTAAGTATGAATCTTCTGAATTATTTCTCTGTAATCTAGTCAGTGGAATTAAAAACCATGCCATTGTGAAATCCAAAACTCTTATTATCTGATGGTTATGAATGATTGTGTTTACTTAACTTACATAGCCTGAATTTAACTTACTAACGTGATAATATAAATCGTGTCTTTAATAAATGCTTGTTGTGATAATTCGAGTTATACCTATTAATTTTTTTAATTGTTACTTTTTATAAGATGGGGTCTCTCTGTGTTACCAGGCTGGTCTCAAACCCTTAGGCTCAAGTGATCCTCCCACTTGGTTCTTCCAAAGTGCTAGGAATACAAGCCACCAGATCGGGCCTAGTTATGCCTCTTTCAAAATGTCTTTATATATTGTGTAACTATTCCATCTGCCTTGGTGAAATATCAGTGAGGTGAACATAGCTTTGTAAAGCAATTACAGTTATGCTTTTAATTTTGAAAAAGAATATTAGTAATGGGCCGGGCCTGGTAGTTCACACCTATAATCCCGACACTTTGGGAGGCCGAGGCGGGCAGATTACCTGAGGTTAGGAGTTCCAGACCATCCTGGCCAACATAGTGAAACCCTGTCTGTACTAAAAATACAAAACTAGCTGGGTGTGGTGGCGCATGCCTGTAATCCGAGCTACTTGGGAGGCTGAGGCAGGAGACTCACTTGAACCCTGGAGGCAGAGGTTGCAGTGAGCCAAGATCATGCCACTGCACTCCCACCTGGGCAACAGAGCAAGACTCCTTTCCAAAAAAGAAGAGAGAGAGTATTAGTAATGGTTTCACATGTTCTGTAAAAATAATGAGAATTAAAGACGGTACAATATTTACATTTGGAGAGCTGAAAGACTTATCTGCCATTTCGTTGCTTTAAAGGAATAGACTCCTTTTGAAGCCTAAAGCTACATTGCTTAAATATAAAGTACTCTGAACTCAGATCTTTAAGCTTTTGAGGTGCTTTAGAGCATAAGCCTCTGTGTACACAAACTTCCTTCTCCTATAAAAACAAAATACTGGTCAGTTCACAAAAAGGAAAAACTGAAAAGGAGAATGAGAAAGTGAACTCTCTTAAATGGTTATATCATAAGGGATTGCCATTTCAGACTGTAGTCTTTTTGCAAACAGACACATGAATAATTGGAAAGGGTTTTCCCGGGTACAGAAGCTCTCAGGGTTGTTCATAAAAATTCACAGTGGGAGATCCGAGTTTTAGGGGAGAGGTATACGAGAAGATTCTTGTTAGTGCCACTATTTACTATGACTTGAACTAAATAGAATAAATCAGGATTTGTAAACTGAAGTATCCCTCTGGGGGGCCAGTCACCTAATACAAATGAATGAAACTGCAAGTTTTTGTGTATTAGACATGTGGTAATAGTTTTCACTTCCAGAAATAGGATATTTCTCATCTTTTGTTGAATACTTGGCCCTCCTTGTCTTTTAGTTTTCCTTTTTTTCCTCCTTTTTTTTTTTTGAGACAGAGTTTTGCTCTTGTTGTCCAGGCTGGAGTGCAGTGGTGAGATCTTGGCTCATTTGCAACCTCTGCCTTCCAGTTTCAAGCGATTCTCTTGCCTCAGCCTCCCGAGTAGCTGGGATTGCAGGCACCTGCCACCATGCCTAGCTAATTTTTGTATTTTTAGTAGACATGGGGTTTCACCATGTTGGCCAGGTTGGTCTCAAACTCCTGACCCGTGAGCCACCAAGCCCTGCCTATTTTCCCATTTTTGATAGAAACACACGCAGTAGTTCACAGTTTTCTTTACCATAAGGAAATCACTTAGCCTGGGCGTTTATGCGTCTATCAGGAGTGATGGGAACTTTAAACAGGAAAGCCATGGCCTGATTAAAGGAAGGGACCTTTCTTTACCTTTAGTCAATTCTGCCATGTGGGGCAGAACTTGTCAATTTTAGAAACCAAGAATCTGGATTTTTATATGGTATCTCCTACTCTTTAAATATTGACTCACTCTGCTAGCCAATTGTCTGTGAGCTGGATGCAGCCTTTGGAATAATCAATTTCTAACCATTGAATAAGGCGTGCTCTGACAGGCAGAGAGAGGAATAAGATCCTGTTAAAAAAAGAGTTTGTTCTGGTGGTCCTTGAAATTTAATATGTGCACCCTTTAAAAAACAGAACCAGAGATTCATTTCAAATATCTAGATATCCATTATTATCATAAATAGCAGTAAAAGATTTTTTAAACTTGTACATAACTTATTTGGCCATTCCCCAATAAGACTGCTTCTCTGAAAATATGCATGCATGTCTTACCATAAATACAGTTATGCTCCACATAACGATGTTTTGATCAATGGTGGACCACACATACAACATTTTCCCATAAGATTATAATACCATATATTTACTGTACTTTTTCTATGTTTAGATACACAAATACCATTCTGTTATAATTGCCTGCAGTATTCAGTACAGTAACATGCTATACAGGTTTGTAGCCTAGGAGCAATAAGCTATAGAATATAGCTTAAGTGTATAGTAGGCCCTACCATCTAGGTTTGTGTAAGTACAGTCTGTGATGTTCGCATAACTGTGAAATCACCTAAGGATGCATTTCTCAAAACATATCCCTGTCTTTAAGTGATGCATGACTGTATTTGTCTTTGGTGACTTCATCTCAGTGTTTGTACTTATGACAAACAAATTTTAATCCAAAAGCAGTTACAGAAGTTAACTGCCAAAACACAATTTGTGCTCCACCTTTATAATTTTTCAGGTAACTTACGGCCTATATCTCCATGGCGTTGGCTGTTTTCTATTGTTGTTCCTGTTCTGATCGTCTCTAATGGCCTCAAAAAGAAAAGTCTAGATCACAGTGGGGCTCTAGGAGGTATGTTTTTATTTTGAATGTTTACAGTTAACTAATAAGTGCTTGCTTATATAATTTAAATTTATGTTTTCTAAATTCTAAATATATGAGACTGACTAAAAATCATAGTGTTATATATTTTAGACAATGATAAAGTTATATCTTGCTCAGCATTCCTATTATCAAAATTTCAGAAACTAATGTACACTTGCAGTGTAACATACAAATTAAACTTTGTAATTGATACAAAGTAGATTAATGGGGATAGATGAACCTTGACTATTCTGCTCCTTTAGTTTGATTAATTTAGCAGAAACCCTGGAGCACTCCTCCTAGATGTAAAATAAAGCATTTCGAGAGAATAACTCTTGGAAATTGCTGTTAGTAATCTCAAACAGAGCAGTCCAAACTTAGTGTTCTAGATTAATTTTCCAAAACTAAGCTGGGAACAGGCCATGTATTCGTTCTTTTAGTAATTTTTTTTTTTTTTTTTTTTGAGACAGTCTTGCTCTATTGTCCAGGCTGGTGTGCGGTGGCACGATCAGCTCACTGCAACCTCCTCCTCCTGGATTCAGGCGATTCTGGTGCCTCAGCCTCAGAGTAGCTGAGACGATAGGCCTGTGCCACCATGCTCAGCTAATTTTTTCTGGTATCTTTATTAGAGATGGGGTTTCACCATATTGGTCAGGCTGGTCTCAAACTCCTGGCCTCAAGTGATCACCCGCCTGGGCCTCCCAAGATGCTGGGATTACAGGTGTGAGCTACCATGTCTGACCCATCTTTTAGCAAACTTTTATTGAACACTTACTACTATGTACCACTGTTCTAGAAACTTGGGATAGATCAGTAAACAAAAAGGACATGGTGTCATTTCTTATGGCACTTATATTCTTTAGGGCAGACAGATAGTAAATAAAATAGATATAACTTTTCAGGTATTCATACAATTTATGACAAAAATATTAAAAGATAATTAAGTGTTAAGTAAATACGTTGGAAGATGTGGTGCATTCTTTTGTAGATGGTGTCAGGTGCTTTTCTCTAAAGAGGTCATTTTACATTGGTATCTAAAGAAACTAGCGATGAGATTTGACAGAATCATGTTCCAGGCTGACAGAATAACAGGTGCTAAAGTCCAGATATCTATAATCCTGGCTTACTTGAGAATAAGAAGAGTAAGGCTCATTTGACTAGAAAATAATAGGAAAAGAAGCGAGAGATAAAATTGAATAAATATGCTCTAGCAATGTGCTTTCATGGTCCTGTGGTTCTGTCAGTTTCGCAAAGGTCAAAACTTTTTTACTCCTTTTCTTAAAGAGGGAACCCCAAATTATATAAGCCTCGGGCTCCACAAAGCCTGGATCTATCCCTTATTTCATTTTTAGGGCATAGAGAGAATTAAATGAGATAATTTAAAGTTCTTACCTCATTGGCTGGATGCATAGCCAACATTTATTTAGTGCTTATTATTATTAGGCAGAGTTCTTCAAAATCATGCCAATTCTATTCATAATTAAGAAATATTGTTTAAGTTCTATTGTGAGATTTCTTTTCCTTTTGTGGGGTAGAGAATTAAAGTTAACTGGGCATATTGATATCTTTATATGAATTTTATTTTACCATATAATCAGTAAGTATTAGGAATGGTTATGTTTTACCTATTTAACAGGTGCTTATGTCACATTTACTATGTAGCAGGCACTGCTGTTATTACTTTGGTAGTATTAATTCATTTATAACATAATTTGAACAATCTCTGCTTGAATATAATAACAAGGAGTTATGTTTGCTAAAAAAACAGTTCTTTCTGGGCTGGTCAGATGGCTCACACCTGTAATCCCAGCACTTTGGGAGGCCAAGGCAGAAGGATCACTTGAGTCCAAGAGTTTGAGACCAGCCTGGGCAATATAAATGAGACTTCACGTGATGGTGCACACCTGAAGTCTCAACTACACAGGAGGCTGATCGTGCCACTGCACTCAGCTTGGGCAACAGAGTGAGACCCTGTCTCAAAAATTTAAAAAAAAAACACTCTCAGATATCCTTGCCTTAGAATTCATTATTCTTATAGAAAGAAAGGTCAAGTCCTTCTTGAAATTCTGTCTTCCTTTGGCTTCTGTGCTGTATATTTTCCTGCTTCTCTGACTTTTATGATCTCTACTGTTGTTTTTTTCCTGCTGCAGTTTCCTCTCCTCCCTTCTAGCCCTTGAGCCTCTACTCCTCCCCTATATTGATTTAGAATTAAAAAATATGTATTTGGAACCAAATACTGCTACCTGTTATCAGTGCAAACTTGGGCAAGCCACGTAACTCCTAGGAGCCTCACTTTCTTAATCTCTTATGGAATATCTCCAATAGTAATACCTTATGGGCTTATTGATGAAGCTCAAACAAGATATTATATGAGGTAACACATCTGTGTAAACTATACAAAAATGTTCATTGTTAGTTATTATGTACTTTCAACCATATTTTTATACATGAATGACTATTAAATTGGCATTGCCACAAACATTTATTTCTTCGTATCTCTGCTCATATTACTCCTCCCCCTCTGACCTCTCTCCTACCTCATTACATATGCTGATTATTGTTATCATCTGCATTAATGGAGAAATACGTATCGAGATTTGAAGGAAGAATAGACAGTTTTGGGCCAAAAACAATGAAAACTGCTGAAAATTAAAACCAACACTTGCAGAGTAAAATTAAATGAAGTATTCCCACTTAGAAAGTTTCTGGTTCTAGGCTTCTTAGTGCTTTATCAAGTATTCTTATTGAATAGGATTCAAATCTAATAAAGTCATTTCTTTGCTGCTAGCCCTAACAAATGAAAATGATCAAATGTAGTAGCAGATGGAAGCAAGTCATTAACTTGCTTTCAGTAGTAACTGATAGTTCTAAAGTCAGGTAGCAAAAATATAATATGTATGTTTCTAAAAATTATCCTGGTGGTATAATATGCCACTTGATCTCCTTGACCATAAAGGACATCTACTAGATTATAAACTCCTTGAGGACAGAGTATTTTATGCTTCTGTGTTCCATGTTTCTTTGAATAGTGCTAGATACATAATAGATGATTAAGAATATATGTTTGATTTTTTAAAACCTTTGCTTTTTTCCTAATTATTTCATTCTATAAAATGTTTATCTTATTTTTTATTCTTTTTTTTTTTTTTTTTTTTTTTTTTTTTAAATTTATGGCCAAGTATAGTTGCTCACACCTGTAATCCCAACACTTAAGGAGGCCAAGACAGACAGATTGCTTGAGCCCAGGAGTTTCAGCCCAGTCTGGGCAACATGTTGAAACCTGTCTCTACTAAAAATTAGCCGGGCATGATGGCAGGTGCTGTAATCCCAGCTACTTGGGAGGCTGAGGCAGGAGAATCACTTCAACCCAGGAGGTGGAGGCTGTAGTGAGCTGAGATTATGCCACTGCACTTGAACGTGGGTGACAGAGTGAGACTCTGCCTCCCCCAAAAAAAATTTTTTTAGAGGCATGGTCTTGCTCTATCACCCAGGCTGTAGTGCAGCGATGCAATCATAGCTTAGTGCAGCCTTGAATTCCTGGGCTCAAGCAATCTGCCTGCCTTAGCCTCCTGGGTAGCTGGGACTACAGGAACACACCATCACATCCAGCTTTTCGTACTGTTTGGAACTTTTTGTTTCCTTAAAGATAAAAAACAAAACAAACAAAAAAAAACCTAATGCTGATTTTAAGTATATCATAGTAGTTGGGAATATTAGCCTAGAGTATGACTGCAAGTCACTGAAACTCTCAGTGTTGTACTTCTCCTGTCTATAAAATGTGAAGGAATAATGGTATCTATAGCAATGAATTATCACGAAGTGTCATCCATGTAAAATGCTTAGCACAATACCTGGCATATAAATATTTTATAAATATTAGTTATTATTACTGATTTCCTTCCACTACTACCATTCACAGTGATATAGTTTGACCGCCGTTGTCCTCAACCAAATCTCATCTTGAATTGTAGATCCCATAATTCCCATGTGTCATGGGAGGGACCTGGTGGAAGGTAATTGAATCATGGGAGCAGGTCTTTCCCGTGCTGTTCTCATGATAGTGAATAAGTCTCACAAGATCTGATGGTTTTATAGGCGGGAGTTCCCCTATACAGGCCCTCTTGCCTGCTGCTAGGTAAGACATGACTTTGCTCCTCATTTGCCTTTAGCCATAATTGTTAGGCCTCACTAGCCCTGTGGAACTGTGCGTCAATTAAACCTCTCTTCTTTATAAATAACCCAGTTTCAGGTTTGTCTTTATTACTAGCCTGACAATGGACTAATACAAAGGAATTTTACTTTGACACATCATGACTTTAGTGTGTCGAGGATTGAGAAGAATTACAGAACTTCCTCAGGATCTGGGTATTTAGAACCTTCATGACAGAAGCATATACCCAGTGTTGAGAGGAATGGGCAGGGGTTCAGTCACACTCAGTCCCTAAGCTGCACACTGAAGTAGAGGCCTCTGGTCTCTTGGAGAGAGAGTGAGCATTGCCAGAATAAGGAGAGAGTCACATGAAGGGGATTTGTGGGAAAGTGTTTGTGGAAGAGCACAGCAAGAGGGGGTGTTGTCAGGAGGGGCCAGTGGTGGTACACTGTGTGGTTTCACAAGGGGGACCTGACCTCTTTTTGGTTACTATAATTCAGGTCTGGTTTCAGTCTTTCTGAAGTAGAAACCTCACTCTGTCATATATGCAGAGTTGATTAGAGCCTGGAAAACTGGTTGAATGTTGCTCATTGTCATAAAGGATTGATATATGACCCAGAATGCCACTTTATTAATCAGGCAGAAGAACACAAACCTCACTGTTCGGGCATGCCCTATGCTTGTTTCCAGGCCACTTGAGAAGTCAGATTATAATTAGAAGGATGCTTTGGTGAGTACAAAGTCTGAGAAAGAGTAATGCGAGTCCACAGTTCAAAGGTTCTTCTCTGGATATGGTTCAAGAAGTCTACCAACCTCTGGTTCTTTGGGCCTTCACTTTATACATTTCAGGCTAGCCAATTAAATTATTATAGAATACGTATGAAACAATAGATTAGTTCTGAGTTTATTAAATTGCTCTGAAATTCCAGTCCTGCCCTTCTCTTTTATGCCTCCTGGGGATTACCCAGGTCAACCTGGCTGGAATTTGGAGTGTAACTCAACTCCCATTGTCAGAAATTTGTAGACAGTGTCATTTTACTCCCCCAATGATATCTGTTAGGTACAGAATTTATCTGTTTTAGGCTCAGAAGGCAAACATAATCCTCGAGTCTTCAAATTATTTGAGAGTACCCTATTGTCATATATATGAACACTTTATCAATGATATTTAGAGATTTGCAGGATGGAGAAGTGGAAAAGATATGAACAGGAGATAACAGTTACTAATCTAAAAATGTAGACATAGGTGGGAGTTGCCAGAAGTTCCAAGCTATCTTTAGACTGCATGAAATAAAGCATTCCTTCAAAGCTTGTTGTCTTGTTCATTTCCTCAATGTGAAGCTGTCATCAACATGAACATTGATCACTTCATGTGGTATTTTAAGGTGGTTGAAGTAAAAAGGATATAGATGCCATTTGTGACATCTCAGTGTAGGCTGTTTAGGGCTCTTCTACTTGGGGTTTGTTTAGAGATGGTGGAACAATTGTTAACAGTGAATATTCATGAAGAGGAGGAGGGGAGACACTTTGACTTTCAGTTTGCATACTTCCATATGTTTTGACTTTCCCCTTCAATACTTGCATACTACTTTTGTAATGTTTTAAAAAGCAATTGAAAAAACTTAAAGGTTGGATAACAATATTATAATATTTATCAGTATTATTGTTGAGCTTTTGCCACTGGAACTGTTACTGTTATTAGTATCAATGACATTAGGTAACACTTTTTAAGGAGCTTTTACCGGATAATATAATAAGCATATTACAAAATGTGTTTATTAATATATTTATGTAATAAGCATATACAAAATATGCCCCTGGATAATAAGCATATTATAAAAATTATCCCTGACTTTTTACAGGAAGCCAGTGAAATAGGAATTATGATTATTCTTATTTCACCAATGCAAAATTGAGACTTAAGGAGGTTAGATAACTTATCCTAATCTTGAAGAGGTAGTTGGAGGAGCCAAAGTTTGAACTCTAGACTGTTCAACTCCAGACCTGAAGCACTTTATTATTATTAATACTTTATGCCAAGTTACCCTATTTCTTGTATTCTCAATTAAAAGGTACCAAAGTTAAATACCAGTAATTGAGCATCTCTAGAAGAGTCAATGAATAACTATCTCATTGATTATGATATCTGAACCTTGAGCTAAGCAATGGAAAGGGTTATTATAGCAAAAGGAGGCCAGGTGCAGTGGCTCACTCCTGCAATCCCAGCACTTTAGGAGACCAATGCTGAGAAGATCACTTGAGCTCAGGAGTTTGAGACCAGCCTGGGCAACATAGTGAGACACCATCTCTATTTCTAATTTTTTTTAATTAAGATGATTTTTAAAGATTATCTAAAATACTATCTTACATTCATATGGCATTGTTTGAAAGGAGATTAAAATATAGTAAAAAAAAAAATGTGTACTTAAAATGGCATTCAGTTTATTGTTTGCTAAGAGCTTAATTGGTAAAATGCCAATTGTTAGAAATGTACATTTCAGATTATAATATAAAAATAACTGGGAAAATGGCTGGATGCAGTGCCTAACACCTGTAACCCCAGCACTTTGGGAGGCTGAGGTGGACGGATCACCTGAGGTCGGGAGTTCAAGACCACAGCCTGACCAACATGGAGAAACCCCGTTTCTACTAAAAATATGAAATTAGCCAGGTGTAGTGGCACATGCCTGTAATCCCAGCTACTTGGGAGGCTGAGGCAGGAGAATCACTTGAACCTGGGAGGCAGAGGTTGCAGTGAGCCAAGATTGCGCCATTGCACTCTAGCCTGGGCAACAAGAGCAAAACTCCATCTCATAAATAAATGGGAAGAAATCTGTTCTTTTTTCACAGCATTAATGTATGAATTGAGTATAATTCTGTGTTTATATATGTTTCTTTCAGGGCTAGTGGTTGGATTTATCCTAACCATTGCAAATTTTAGCTTTTTTACGTCTTTGCTGATGTTTTTCCTGTCTTCTTCGAAACTCACTAAATGGAAGGGAGAAACAAAGAAGCGCCTAGATTCAGAATATAAGGAAGGTAAAATTAATTATGTTTGATGTTAATCAGAATAGTACACTTCATTTCATCCTAACATAAGCTTTTAATCAGAATGTTGTTTAGACTGTCAAAACACATCAATTTTATATGAGAATTCCTTATGGTGGCCAAAGCGAGTTTATCATTTATTTCACAACAATAGGAAATAACAGCAGAATATTAGGAGCACTAGAGTCTGTCATAATTTTTCCAGATTTGTTAATAACAGTACAGAATCTGGGCAAATGTACCGTTCTACTTTTACTATTTTAAAAATGTTTGTTGTTGTTTTTCTTGTCTTAAACTTTAAAACATAAACACCTATAACTGCATGGTTTTCCTTCTAAGGAGGGAGCATTTATTTGTCCTTTTCTGTTTGTTTCCAGGTGGGCAAAGGAATTGGGTTCAGGTATTCTGTAATGGAGCTGTACCCACAGAGCTGGCACTGCTATACATGATAGAAAATGGCCCTGGGGAAATCCCAGTCGATTTTTCCAAGCAGTACTCTGCTTCGTGGATGTGTTTGTCTCTCTTGGCTGCATTGGCCTGCTGTGCTGGAGACACATGGGCTTCAGAAGTTGGCACAGTTCTGAGTAAAAGTCCTCCAAGGCTGATAACAACCTGGGAGAAAGTTCCAGTTGGTGAGTCCTTTTTTTCTTTTTGACCCATTGGTAGACATAGTTGGTGAGTCTTGACTTGGGATTCTTTTAAAAAACAAACCAAGCCGGGCGCGGTGGCTCAAGCTTGTAATCCCAGCACTTTGGGAGGCCGAGGCGGGTGGATCACGAGGTCAAGAGATCGAGACCATCCTGGTCAACATGGTGAAACCCCGTCTCTACTAAAAATACACAAAATTAGCTGGGCATGGTGGTTTGTGCCTGTAATCCCAGCTACTCGGGAGGCTGAGGCAGGAGAATTGCCTGAACCCAGGAGGCGGAGGTTGCAATGAGCTGAGATCATGCCATTGCACTCCAGCCTGGGTCTCAAAAAAAAAAAAAAAAAAAAAACCAAAAAACCTCTTGATTTAATGTATTTCTTATTTAGAGCCTTTTAAGAACTTTATCTGGTCTCTTTAAATAATAATTGGAAAATTTCTATAGACTATTAAGCTGGTAATAATAAATAATATTTGCAGGAAATGTTAGCAAGACCTAGATAAGCAATACAGGAACATAGAGATTAATTTGCAAACATATGAGTAGGGAAGGAAAAGAAAGGGAACAATAGAATATTTATTGAGGGCCTGTTATGATATCAGTGCTTTAACCTATATCTCAGTTCTCCATTATCAATGTAGTCAACAACTACATAGGTTGAGCATCTCAAATCTGAACATCCAAAATCCAAAATGCTCCAAAATCTTAAACTCTTTGACATGATGCTCAGAGGAAATGTTCATTGGAGTGTTTCAGATTTATGATTTTGAGATTTGGGGGTGCTCAACTGGTAAGTCTATATAATGCAAATATTCCAAATCTGAAAAAATTCAAAATCCAAAACACTTCTGGTCCCAAGCAATTTGGGTAAAGAAAATACTCAACCTGTACTGTTTCTTCTTTTTGTCCTCTGATGCTTTTCTTCCTCTCTTCCCCTTCTTTTCTTTCTCACCCATCTTATCCTCTATCATTGCCTTCTCCTCCTCTTCTTTTATCTCCTCCTCTTCATCATCATCATAACAGCTAGCACATTTTAGATACCTACTACAGAGCTCTATTCTAACTGCTTTACACGGATTGCCACTTAGTACTCCTAATAATCATATGAATTAGTTTATTATTTCTATTTTATAAAGAAACTAAAGCCCAAAGAAGTTAAATAAATTAACTACAGTCATATGGCCTAAGAGTTGCAGAATTGGGCCTGGCAAGGTGGCCCAGCTGTCATCCTAGCTACTAGAGAGGCTGAGGTGGGAGGATCGCATGAGCCCAGAGTTGGAGGCTGCTGTAAGCTATGATCACACCATTGTACTCTAGCCTGGTTGACAGGGCAAAACCTTGTCTCTAAAAAGAGAGAGTAAGAGAGAGAGAGTAGCAGGACCAAGACTGAAACCAGGCAGTCTGGCTTCATTGAACCATTCTGCTTCACTGCTTAAAATATCAAGAGTTACTGAGGAGAAAATACTATTTTCTGAATAGGCTACAGTCTTTAGATTTCATTAAAGAGAATGCTTTCTTTAAATTAGTCTTGATTGGATAGGTACTTTGCTGTCCCTGACTTTATGTGTTTGCTGGTTATTAACCTGATGATTTTCTGCATGTTTCTTCTTCAGGAACCAATGGAGGAGTTACAGTCATGGGCCTTGTCTCCAGTCTCCTTGGTGGTACCTTTGTGGGCATTGCATACTTCCTCACACAGCTGACTTTTGTGAATGATTTAGATATTTCTGCTCCCCAGTGGCCAATTATTGTATTTGGTGGTTTAGCTGGATTACTAGGATCAATTGTGGACTCCTATTTAGGGGCTACAATGCAGTATACTGGTAAGAACATTCTTTCATTCTTGCAACTTATTGGTGTGTTAAAGAAATAGGGAAGAAATAGAGAAAAGAAAGAAAAAATGTCAACAATGAAAACAAATCCAAAGACACAGGATGTTGACAGACCAGAAATGATAGGACAGAGTCTCTTCCACAATTTTGGCTTTCTTATACTTTTGTATTAAATTAATTGAAAGATAATTAGTCTTGCATAGCAATGATTAGAAGCTGTGTGGGAAAGACACAATAGCACAGAGAACAGATGCTTTCGTGTGGGCCATTACCTAATCCAAGGAAAGAAAGACATTTGGGATCAGATCGTTTTAATACAATTCCTTCCATTCATTTCCCCAGTCCATTTGAGGGATAATTGTACTAATCTGACTATACACACGACCTACTTTATTACTGTGATATGCTTGCTATCCTTGCCGCTGAGTTTTTTGCCTCACTCAGGATATATGGTAGATGGCTGGGTGCAGTGGCTCATGCCTGTAATTCCAGCACTTTGGGAGGCTGAGGCGGGCAGATCACTGAGGTCAGGAGTTCCAGACCAGCCTGGCCAACATGGTGAAACCCATCTCTACTAAAAATACAAAAAAATTAACAGGTGCCTGCCTGTTAATTCCAGCTATTCGGGAGGCTGAGGCAGGAGAATTGATTGAACCTGGGAGGCAGAGGTTGCAGTGAGTCAAGATCATGCCACTGCACTTTTGCGTGAGCGACAGACCAATATTCCATCTCAAAAACCAACCAACCAACTATATATATATATATATATATATATGAGTGGTAGAGTATGTTTTTCTCAAAATTTTCTGTGCTTTGCTTCTAAGACTTTCTCATCCTATCAGTGTACTGACATATTCTGTTAGGTGTGTATTTATACTCTCATCAACCATGTTTCTCCTTTGATTGACATCAGGAAGAGGTTGGAAGGCTAGAGAAGGGTTCTCTCAGTACGGTCCTCCCAGTACTCTTCATGCCTCAGGAAATATATTTGCCCTTCCTCCCCTCTCTCCATCAGTCGGAATATTTGTTCTCAGTGTTGTTAGTCTCATTTAGATTTTAAGGATGAAGCAATCTGATCTTAATTCCCACTAAAGGGTAAATAACTCTACACACACACACACACACACACACACACACACACACACACACACACACACAGACAGTAACACATGTTTCTTAAAGAGTGTAGGTTTTATTCTAAATTGGTTTCTAGTTGGGTAAGTTTCTGATTGCATTGAGTGGGTTGAAAAGAAATGCATGCAGTAGGGGAGATTCTGTAAATCTTCGTGTGCCCCCTTTGTGCCAGCCCCATGCGCAACCCTGTGTTTACAGTGCTGTGGCCACAGACATGATCCCTACGCTCAAGGACCTCATAGATCAGTCTTGGAGGGGAGCCGCTGGAAAGGCAGGCCCAACCCGCCAGTTTCATGCCCTCTCTGCTTTTCATGTTGTCTCTTTCACTTCTGAAGCAACTCCAGAGGTATGGACAGAAAATTACTGAGGTGTACTGGAACCCTTGTATTCAAAGAGGCCATTTGTAATCAAGGGTTCTGTATCTCTCATCATATAAATTATCCATTAAAGTCGTTTAGCAGGTCACTTAGAACCTTTCAAACACTGTATGCTTTGGAGGAAAAATCTATTTTGTTCTTTTTTTAAAATCAAGTAATTTGGGTTTTCTACCTCACTTGCTTCTTTTTCCATTTCAGGGTTGGATGAAAGCACTGGCATGGTGGTGAACAGCCCAACAAATGAGGCAAAGCACATAGCGGGGAAGCCCATTCTTGATAACAACGCAGTCAATCTGTTTTCTTCTGTTCTTGTTGCTCTCTTGCTCCCAACTGCTGCTTGTGGTTTTTGGCCCAGGGAGTGAACTTTTTTTCATTCCCACAGGTTGAAACTGGTGAGTCCAGCTAAACTTGCAATTCCAACTTTCATCCTAAGAATAATAATTGTAATGGCAAAGCAGAAATGCCAGCTCTTCCTATATTCCATTGTGATGGGATTTCACATTTTCCTCTCATCAACTCCCCTGTAATAGCTAGCATCTTTCTAGTGAAAGAGAAAGGTTCATAGAATTTGTGCATTTTTTTTCTGCTGAATGGAGGTCTTGAGCAATGAAGCTATATTATTCCTACATATTGCTGTGTATTGAATTGAAAGTTCCTATATAGTCAATGTCAAGTTTTGTCTTATTTTGTTTGTTTAAACCAGTGTAGGGAATAAAAGTGATGATATTTAAAATAGTTCTCCATTGAAGAAGAGAAATGGCACTGTGCTAGTTACCCAAATGTTGTGTCTGTTTTACATAGTTTAAGCTGATGTGTATGGACGCCTAAGTGTGGTATCCTGAACGTCTCCCATTACATTGCTATTCATAATTGGGAAGAGTGTGGGGATTGGTTCCTAGTGAGTTTTGTGGCCTAGTCCACAATTATTCTTCTTTCCTCAGGGTTAGTGATGAAAAAAACCTAGATATCTTTTTCATATGACCATTACAATGTGTGAAAAAAGTTATTTTAACTAAAAGGAAAAGAACTCTATCTTATATCTAAAAAATGTGCACCTTATTATATGTTTCAGTTGCTCTCTGAACAGAAATTATTTTCAATGTAATATGTTGAATGTATTTCTAGCTTTCTTTGAATTATGTTTGGCATCCTGGCTTAGCACTGGCATCCTGAACAGTTAGTCACTGGGAAATTACTGTATTTCTTTATAAATTTACTATCATACAAATTACTTGAAAATACTATGATTTTCTATTATTACCTTCTAAGTGTATTCCCTCTTACACTGTAGCCTCAATTAAAGCAAATTCTGCTTTTCAGTTTTGTTCCTCACTATGATTTACTGTGTGCCAAAGGAGTTTTGACATGGTACAGATTATTTTACTAAAAGTATTTTAAAATGTTTCTCATGTGATTTCTGTACCTTCTTCCTCCTGCCCTTTTTGCTTTTTTAAAGAAATTGGGGAAGGATTTGTGAACACACCACCACCAGAGTGTGAGTAATGCTTAGAATTCTTTATTGGTGGCCCTACGATGGTGATGACCTAGAACTGACTTAGTTCAGGACAAAAAACAAAACAATCTCACCCTTAATTTTGAAGCCAGTCAGATTAGGGAGTTGCAACAGTTGGCTTAGAACTTTGGGTATACATTGGAAGCACCAGGGCATGTTTGCCTTGTTTGTTTGTTTGTTTTTTGAGACAGAGTCTCACTCTGTGGCCCAGGCTGGACTCCAGCACAGTGGCTTAATCTCGGCTGACTGTAGCCTCTGCCTCCAAGGTTCACACAATTCTCTTGCCTCAGCTACCCAAGTAGCTGGGATCACAGGCGTGCACTACCACCCCCAGCTAATGTTTGTATTTTTAGTAGAGACAGGGTTTCACCATGTTGGCTAGGCTAGTCTTGAACTCCTGGCCCCAAGTGATCTGTCCCCTCAGCCTCCCAAAGAGCTATTACAGATGTAAGTCACTGTGCCCAACCACCAGGGCATGTTTTTTAAAAAGTACTGGTGTCTCGGTTTCACACTGCAGAAATCTGATTTGTCTGATCTAAGGTACAGCCCTGATATTGGGACTTTTTAAAGCTCTGACTATATGTTAGAATCATCATGTAAGGAGTTTTTAAAACACTGTTGTAAGGGCTGCTTTCTAGACCAAGTCAGTCAGAATGTTGGACAATGAGGCCCTTGCATGTATATTTTTACAAAGCTCTCTGGGAGATTCTAATGCTTAACCATGTTCAGAAGCACTGAATAAGAATATCCTGGGCTGGGCACGGTAGCTCATGCCAGTAATCCCAGCACTTTGGAAGGCCGAGGCAGGTGGATCACTTGAGGTCAGGAGTTCAAGGCTAGCCTGGCCAACATAGTGAAACATTGTCTCTACTAAAAATACAAAAAATTAGCCAGGCATGGTGGCACGTGCCTGTAATCCCAGCTACTCGGGAGGCTGAGGCAGGAGAATCACTGGAACCCAGGAGGTGGAGATTGCAGTGAGCCGAGATGGCACCACCGCCCTCCAGTCTGGGCAACGAGCAGAACTCCATCTCAAAAAAAAAAAAAAAAAAAAAAAAAAAAAAAAGGAATATTCTAAGCACTAGAACTACTGAATAAGAATATCCTAAAGCACTGTATCTAACCACTTGAAAAGAGTGGGACTTTTCAATTTTAGGGAAATAACTATTAGCAACAACACAGCATGTTATCTTTATGGATTAATAACTTCTGGTAACTATAGTGTCTTACAGCTACATTACATATAAAATTATTGTGTCAAGCTTTCACACAACCTGCACGTTGTTCTAACATGCCCTTTTTCTTTTCTTGGAGATTCATCTTCATGACATACTAGGGGACAAAAATATTTATTGGGACTGTCTTTGGGTTTAGTAGGATCACTGTATCATTAACAGTTTGGGGTTCTTTATTTGAAAACTGAGGTCTAGATGTGTTTTGCAATCAAAATTTTTGAGATTTTAAAAAACTAATAGGGTCTACATAAAATATTTCACTCAAAACTACTAAAAAAAAGTCTGGGACAGCAGCTCATTATCAAATATGCTATTTTTGTAGTGATTTATGAATATCCCCACTAAGTTTGATAACTAAAGATCATAAAGAGCCTCAGATCAAATCAGGTCAGGTTTTGTCAACAAACTTGTGAAGAAACTGGTTTTCATAGCTTTTTAGACCTGAGAATTGAGGATAAGAAATTGTGTCTCTGTCCTTTTTTTTTAATTTTTGTAAGTTCATATTCTACAGTGACATCTTTTGAATTGGATATTTAACTAATTCAACTTATTTTTCCTCTTTGCAGAATGGGCAGTTCATGTTAAAAACACTTTTCATGGAAAGAGCTCTATATAACAGTATAATAAAACTGCCTGCCTTGGCAGCATAAAGGTGTACTATTTCTTATCATACTGATACATGATAGAGAAGGGCAGATATATGTGGTATGGGGCAGCTCCTGAAAGAGACTTCCAGGAGTAGCATGTTGAAAACTCATTAAATAGAGCCACCAGGAGAGCAAAGAATTGATACAGCAGGTCATTCTATTCTTAGCTTTTCTCATTACTTGAGTTATCTATTCCTCATATATCTCTTTCCACGTATCTGCTATACACGTAGGATGCTGGCTGCAGAAATATCAACCTCACCCTAATTACATAAAGGACTAGTATAGAGAAAAAGCATGTAAAATAATGTTTTAAACTTTGCCGCATACCTGCAATATGAACAGCTGCTGCCTGTTATACACAGTGGGTATACTAGAGCCCAGTCATATGATTTTCCTGATGTTTTATCTAATGTTCCCAGTTCCATCACAATGAGAATGATCTATACTAGCCACCAGATCCCAGGTGAATTGTGGTGTGCTTTAAAAATGAAAACACAATTATGTGGTTTCATTATTTAATCCCCTTATGGAGTATCTGTATTGGCTGTTTTCTGTTTGTTTGTTTGTTTTTGAGACGGTCTCATTCTGTCACCAGGCTGGAGTGCAGTGGCGCAATCTCAGGCAATCTCGGCTCACTGCAACCTCCACCTCCCAGGTTCAAGCGATTCTCCTGCCCTAGGCACCCAAGTAGCTGGGACTACAGGCACGTGCCACCACACCCAGCTTATTTTTATATTTTTAGTAGAGATGGGGTTTCACCATGTTGGCCAGGATGGTCTTGATCTCTTGACCTCATGATCCACCCACCTTGGCCACCCAAAGTGGTGGGATTACAGGCTTGAGCCACCGCACCCAGCAAGTATCTGTTTTTGTAACTCCAAGTAGTTCTCAATATTTTAAAAATACTTAAGCATTCAATATATATTCGTTGAATTAAGTTATTTGACTCTAATTAACATTATTTCTTTTAAGAGTCACTGGAAGGCAATAATCAGTAACATATCCCTGGAGGAAAATATAAAATGAAAAACCAGTTTGGCTACCAGAATTTCTACGAACTGGAGTGTTTCTGGCATTTCTCAATCATGCAAAATAATATTAATGGTCAATAACTAATGAGTCAGGAAATTATTGAAGAAGTGAAGGAGTAGCAGGGCAAGGCTTAAAATTATTTTCCCTGACAAGACTAAACTCTCAATTTATTGTAACTACCCTCTTTAAAGAAATTTTTTTTGTAGATCTAGTCACGAATCCAGACAAGATTGATTGATTGATTGATTGATTGATTTTTGAGACAGAGTCTTACCCTGTTGCCCAGGCTGGAGTGCAGTGGCACAATCATAGCTCACTGTAGCTTCAACTTCCCCAGTTCAACTCATCTTCCTGCCTCAGCCCCCAAGTAGCTGGGACTACAGACATACACTACCACACCCAGCTACTTTTTGAAAAAAACTTTTTTGTTGTAGAGATGAGTCCAGACTATGTCCTGTGTTGTCCATACCGGACTTGAACTCCAGTGTTCAAGTGATCTTCTCACCTTGGCCTCCCAAAGTGTGGGATTACAGGTGCGAGCCACCCCACCCAGCCAAAAATTTATTTCATAAATATGGCAACTCTTTTTTGAGTTTAGATTTTTTTTATTTTTATTAATATTTAATTAAATAATACACTGAATCTATTTTTTTAAAAATTACAACATTAGGCCAGATGTGGTAGCTCATGCCTGTAATCCCAGCATTTTGGGAAGTCAAGGTGGGAGAATTTCCAAAGGCCATGAGTTTGAGACCAGCCTGGGCAACAGAGCAAAACCCTGTCTCTACAAAAAATAAAAAATTAGCCAGACATGGTGGTGTACATCTGTAGTCCCAGCCACTCAGGAGGCTGAGGTGGGAGGATTGTTTGAGCATGGGAGTTGGAGGCTACAGTGAGTCATAATTGTGCCACTGCGCTCCAACCTGGGTGACAGAAACTCTTTCTCAATTTAAAAAGTAATA